ATATATTATATCCCTATCTCTGTGCCCTTCCCTCCAACAGATATAACATTGTCTTCCCCAGTTACGGTCTGGACTATGAGTGTCGTCTGCGACCGTCTGAGCAGCTGAGAACCAGACATGAACAGATCTTGACCTCTCGCCTGCCAGAAGTGCCTCAGTTGTGGGAGCAGCTTATACAGGTGGGAAAAATAATACAGTTATTGTGCTCAACTCTGGGACCAAGTCTTAATCATCTCACTCTCACACGATAATGTTGAGTATGGAATTGAACAGCACATTTATGATAAAGGAGGAAAAATGTATCTTCTTTACTAAAAGCTTTAAAAAACAAAACAATACAACAATATCACAACAACAGCAACAACAGCAGCAGCAACAACAACAACGACGACAACAACAACAACAACAACAACAACAACAACAGCAGCAACAACAACAACAACAACAACAACAACAACAACAACAACAGCAACAAAAGACACTAACAAAAAGAAAGAAAGAGAGAAAAATATAAAAGAAGAGAAAAAGAAAAGAAAAGAAAACAGGCTAGATCTAGTAAAAATAACTAGTATGAAAAGGAAATACTCGAAAATTGCGGTTCTGTCCGCTTTCATCACATGAAGATAAGCTAGGGCTGTATTGATGGTACGATTGTACGGTATTATATCTTCTTTTAGCTCCACTTTCCAACATAGTAACATTATTTAAGCGGCAGGTTCTCCTTCGGTTTAATGTCCATCACCGAATCACGGGTGGTTGAAGGATGCTCTGGTGTCGTTTGCTCCTTCTGTCCTGTCAATCATAGTATTCTTTCGCCCTTCCCTTTCTCCTAATTCTTTCTTCTTTGCAAACATGTATTGCTCTCGAGTGACACATCTAATCTTCGGCACACGTTATGACGCATTGTGTTTCAAGCAAGAGCCGTAAAACTTTAATTAAATCAAAGTATCCCCTCTCCCCCCCCCCTCCTTTTACAGTGGCGAGCAGCAACGGCATGTTTGTGATATTGTTCTGTACTGGTGTAATAGTGTGTG